CCGGGTTTACATGTTGCTGCGTGCATGTTGTGTGCATGACTATGCACTGATTGTTCCATTCGCATTGTGTTTTTTCATTCAAATCTCGTCGCAGCAAGGCAGCTTATGTTTGAGTAAAACAATGCAAGCGACGGGTGGAAACAGAAAAATATCATTATGTCTAGACATTTAATAAAAAAACTTGCCCTATTTTCAGCCTCCTGATTTCCTATTCATAGTTCGTTTGTTCCTTTTGACAACTTGAAAAGGTGATTCAAGAGTCTCCTATAATGTGTTCAGAATAGCTTAGAATGCACCAAATTGCACCATTCTTTAAAAAAAATCCCTGGACCCCCCTAGCATGGCGATGACCTACGGTCCTCGCATTGCTCGCTGCTCGTTTGCTAATTAAAATTTCAGCTGAAAATTAAATTATCCAATCTCATCCCTGAATGTGTCACCAATTACAATCGCAATAGAGGGTTCTGGTGAATGCCCCTGCTCAAACTCAGCTGGCATCAGCGACGGAGCCCGCACGAACCTAACTGACTTAGCCGGCGTAGCCTGCGTAAGCACCCTAGCCCTTTCAAATGACGGGCAATCCTTCTGTAAATGACCCGGCATATTACATCGAAAACATAACATTGTAGCCTTGCCTAGCACCCGCCCTATTGCTGCTAAACGCAGGTCTGTCTCGAGTCGAGTCGGGTCGGGTCTGCAGTGGGGCGGGACTGCTGCCTCCACTAACAAAGCTACCTTGAACCGGCGCGGAATTATCACTGCGATATCTGCAATCCTCGCGTCTAACTGTCATAAAGTTATCTGCAATCTGTCCAGCACGAGCCACAGAACCCACTTCGGTCTGTCGTAAGTAGTGTCGGAGATCATCATTACGTATTGTAGAAATGAACTGATCAATCAGTACCGTCTCTAAAACCCCATAAAACTGCGTTTGTCGCAACAACTCCTGAGGCGGTTTAAGCCACCTATGAAAATAGGTTTGCAAACGCCCCGCAAATTCCTGAAATGTCTCATCTAATGATTTTTTTTGCCGTCTTAAAGTTGCCTCTATACGTCTCTGAAGTCAGATTATACGATGCGAGTATAGCTTCTGTCACTAGTTCGAAGTCCTGCCTGACGTCATCTGCCAGACGAAATAAGCATTTCTGGGCTCGCCCCGATAGAAATGGCTCTAGAATAGCCGTCCACCGATCTCTAGGCTTGCTCTGCGCAATACACAGTCTCTCAAATGTCTGTAAGTAACAGTCAATGTCATCCTCCTGTGTCAGCTTATGCATGCCCACTAACTTATATACTGACGAACCTGACTCTCTATGCCCAGCGTCCGCTACCGCACCTCGATCTGCAAGTAACTCTGTCAGAAAAGACTGATGTTGCTGTTGCTGTAATGCTTGTTGCTGTTGTTGTTGCTGCAGCTGTAATGCTTGTTGCTGTTGTTGTTGCTGCATGAACCCCATCATGGCCTGCATCTCAGGTGAAAGAACAACTACCCCCCTGCCTGCTCCTCATCCGAGGATTCATTTGCAACCCTCTTAGGAGGCATTTTGTGTGTGTATAAATTAGTACTCACATAAACGGCTGATGCAACCTGACTTGCTCTCCGCAAAATCAAGTCACAACCAAAAGTTGGCTTACCTCACCTCTCGGTGATCGTTTGAGGTTCAATCGGCGAGTGGTCGGTTGGTCGGTTTGTTGTTTACAATAAGCGAACCTGTGGTCAGCATCAGCCCCCAGTTCACTGTTAGACGAGGACATTGAACCTAGCTTACATGCGATGCTGACCCGAACAATCTCGCATCGACCATGCGGTCAGTTGGTGCGCTACGAAACGTGTTTTTCTCATGTTTTCCACAGTATAAGCGCATGGACGCGTTCCACGTGCAACCCTATCTCCCCCAAGATCTTAACATGTTGTTTTGGTGTTATCTCTTCACAGGTGTGGTCCAAGTTGGCGATACACAGGGAGACACTCGACCGTTGGACAGAAAACATCAGGAAGGTATGAGTGTGGTTGCTGCTGTAGTGTATTCTTGCTGCTGGATGGTTATCGGTTACTTGCTGCATGAATCCCAAAAAATGTGGCCTTGCACTCTGAACGCGTTAATGATTAAGACTTGGTGTTGCAGTAATAAGCATGTTAATACACAGCGACATGTAGTGTACAGATTTTATTCCTTTTTTAAAGAGGATAATTTTTCAATGTATCAAATTTAAATATACAAAAAAAATGTACAAAGCAAACACGTCGTTTAGTCACAAGTAAACACATATCTATCTACAGGGAGATGGCGAGAGAGAGGGGGGAGGAGAGAAAGGAAGAGCGGGAGAAGAGAGTGAGGGAGGGAGGGAAGGAGGGAGCGAGGGAGTGACATGCAGTTTTTCAAAGGCGATACACATCTTCAACTTTTCAAACTTTAAGCGAACACGTGAATTCGATGAGTGCGTAACTATCCGCAGCTGACACACGAATACGAATGTGCTAGTACAGCTTGATCTGTCAACTTACTGCACAAGGCAAATGCTCTCTGGCTGCAACCTTTCACAAGTGCCATTATACCGAGTCGGATAATAAGAGCGTGATAGTACTACACGCTTTTCAGCTTGCACTTCTTCCTAGAATCTGCTCCCTTGTATAATACACTTCTGATTGTACTGAGGCACCACCTAGAGTTTAGCGGTGATTATACTGGTGCACCGGTCAACCGTTAGCTGTGATTATACTGGTGCACCGGTCAACAGTTAGCTGTGATTATACTGGTGCACCAGTCAACAGTTAGCTGTGATTATACTGGGGCATGGGTCAACAATTAGCTGTGATTATACTGGGGCACAGGTCAGCATTTATGTGGTATGCAATGCGTTTCAGTGGCTGTGTCAGACGATCCTGGTGCGACTCATAGCTGAGATTGGCAGCATCAACGATGACTTGGACCGACTCGGGTGTGGCGAGATCAAGATAGGCGGTGAGTGTGAGCGCGTGCATTGCTGGGACGCTTGTCCTATCGTGTGCAGAGGGGCCACAATGCTGTGGTAAGGGACGGGGGAGGGGACGGGTGTAGAATTGTGGTGGGGTGGGGGAGGGGTGGGGTGTAAGGTTGTGGTGGAGTAAGGGAGAGGGGAGCGGGTGTAAGGTTGTGGTGGAGTAAGGGAGAGGGGAGCGGGTGTAAGGTTGTGGTGGAGTAAGGGAGAGGGGTGGGGTGTAAGGTTGTGGTGGAGTTGTTCTTGTATAATAAGATAGCCGAGTCGGTGTACAGTTAGTGTTGGGTTCGGGACAGCAGGTTGACTGTTTGTACTTGTGTGTGGTCTGCAGTGCATGCGTGGTACGGTAAAAATACACGAGTCGGGTGTCCTGGTCGAATGTGAATTCTTGACAATCGATTCCCGCGCTGTCAAACTTTTATTGTGATGGAATTTAATCGGGATGCAACGATTGAAACAGGGGGGAGTTTTCCCAAACGGGGCGCGCGCGCCCTGCAGAACCCTGCCTTCCTTGATTTTTATCAAAAAAATCCTATAGCGGGCAGAGACCCCCAAAGTGCGCAACCATGCAAACAATCAATACCCTGAATGCAATGTCAATGACACGGAATACGCGAAAATAAACGCTCAAAACATGCCAAAACCAACGAAATACACGATTCATAATACTACTGTGACATGCCTTACTGCGCCACCTACTGAACAACTATCGTACCTATCTCCCTATCTCCCGTTAGTACAGTTGAAAGCTAATTCGCTACCACACGCGACTGACTGCAAAAAAACAACCCTCAAACACGACGGAGGTGTTGAGTAAGTGAATACACGAGTCTGAGCGACAAACACGCGGGCTTGACCCTCAGCTGACAGACCTACTGTACGTTCACAGCAGTCTCCCTAACGACATGCGCGATGCAAGTCGAAAGAACTATGCAGTCTACCATTGTACGCAACGTGCGCCATACAATACGTCTATCCTAGCTTATCAACGAACACTTTACGATACCCATACTGGAGAAGGTACTTAGCTTGATGTACAGCTTGTTGTCCAGGGCCTCCACTCTACGTACGCAACGAACCAGTTAACATCACTACTATATCCTGTCGACTGCGCCAAAATGTAAGGCTTGATCCTTACATGGTCGATTCTCCTGGTCGTCTGGTGGAATGAAGCACCTCGAGTCTATCCCAGGCAGCCCTTATATATGCACATATCGTGGCCTCGCCTGGCTTGCCGTGAATCCTGGGTCGAAGCCTGTATCGAATCCTGTAGTATGGCTTCGACTCGTAGGTGACGGTTATAGACACTTTACAAATGTTCTATAGCCCTGCGGCAGTCAATGTACGCGGGCTATAGTACTAAAGCTATAGTAGTACTAGTGCTGAGACTGAGAGGGTCTATATGTCTCCCAGGGCACAGGCACTTGAAGCATTTCAATAAAATATAATGCTAACTAAATACGAAATCTATTTACTACCAAATTCTTAATGTTTCTATACTCTCATTCGGGTATTATTGCCGACAGATTCCTGTAAATTCCGTCCAAATCCTATGTGCAACAAACACTGACTGCCGCCATTCTTCGCGCGGCTGCAGTGTGCACACTGACACTTATATGTATATAGCAGGTATAAAAGCGGGATCCCTAAATTCGCTCGACGCTCGCTTGATTTCACAGCACAAATACACATCCAACAGCTGCCATCTTTGTTTCTATGTCAAGAACAGTGTTCACTTGTTATAAAAACATACTGTCTCTGTTCGTAACCGAGCTGTGTCACGCGAAATCACACAAAGACTGACGAAATTCTCGCCTTCGCGAACCTTGCCCAGTAATGTAAATGGCTGCAAGTACAGGGCTATATAGACTGGGACTAATTGCTCCCACCTCGATTACCCATCGAGTGACTAAGCTAAGCCGAGAGGTGGGAGCGAGTGCCAGTCTATGGGCTATAGGCGGTGCACTGCTTTCCAACTCCCGTATGAGCCTCACCATTGGAACGTTGCAAAAACGTTGCAGCGTTGCGGCGCAAGAATGAGGTCACGAAGAGCGCCGGTAATTGTTTCCTGATTCTGACAGCCATTTACATTACTGGGCAAGGTTTTTGCGAACGCGAAAATTTCGTCATTGTTTGTGTGATTTCGCGTGACACAGCTCGGTTATGAACAGAGACAGTATGTTTTTATAACAAGTGAACAGTGTTCTTGACATAGATACAAAGATGGCAGCTGTTGGATGTGTATTCGTGCTGTGAAAGTGTGAAATCAAGCGAGCGTCGAGCGAATTTAGGGATCCCGCTTTCCTACCTGCTATATACATATAAGTGTGGAGTGTGCACACTGCAGCCGTGTGAGGAAAGGCGGCAGTCAGTGTTTGTTGCACATAGGATTTGGACAGAATTTACAGGAAACTGTCGGCAATAATAGGTGAAAGAGAGTATAGAAACATTAAGAATTTGGTAGTAAATAGATTTCGTGTTTAGTTAGCATTATATTTTATTGAAACGCTTCAAGTGCCTGTGCCCCAGGGTACTGCCAGAACGTACCCTGGTACTATCTAATATGCCGTACCTCGCCTACTCCACTAACGAGTCTAGGGAGTCGCCTACGCCTACTTCCTAACCCTAACCCTAACCCTAAC